ATTGAGAAAACTTATGATCATGTTAACTGGGTTACTTCTCACTATACTCAGGAAAATGGGATTTGGAGAAAAGTGGATTAGATAGATACATTTTTGCATTTCAATAGTAAAGTTTTTTGTCCTCATTAATGGTGTTCTTGAAGTTTTTTTTGAAGCTCAAAGAGGAATTAGACAAGGGGATCCTTTATCTCCATCATTTTTATTCTTGTCATGGAGGGACTTAACAACATGATCAAGACAGCTAAAACAATAGGTGGATCACATGATTTGAAGTGTCTACAAACAATGAGAGGAGTTTGGAGGGAACACATCTCCAATATGCAGATGCCACTTTGATTTTTTGTGATGCAGATGAGGAACAACTAAGGTACCTCAGGGTCATTCTGGTGCTTTTTGAAGGCATGTCAGGTCTTCACATCAACTAGGAAAGAACCATTTATATCCTATAAACTTGGTCTCTAATATGGAGCTTTTGGCCTCAGTGCTAGGAGGCGATGTGGGAGCACTACCTGCTATATATCTGGGGATGCCATTGGGAGCAAAATTACCGTCCAAAGAAATTTGGAATTCTGTCTTGAAGAAATGTGAGAAGAAGTTGGTTAGAGGGAAAGCACAATATTTATCAAGAGGGGGAGGGGGGGGGGGCAGGCTCACTTTGATAAATGCATTCTTAGATGCCCTTCCTACGTACATGCTAACTTTGTTCCCAATACCTGCAGGAGTAGTACAAAGATTGGATAAACTAAGAAGGGATTTTTTCGGGCAAAGAAACAAGAAAAGAAAGGGATACCATCTGATAAAATGGAAAGTTCTGATCACGGAAAAAAAAAGGAGAATTAGGCATAAAAAATTTGAAGAACCAAATTAAGGCTCTAAAGCTGAAATGGTTGTGGAGATATGCTCATGAACCATACTCATTGTGGAGCAAGGTGATTAAACTGAAGTATGGAGAGATGGATTCATGGGTCACCAAGGAAGCAACCAATTCCTATGGTGTTACTGTTTGGAGATCAATTAGGAACTGGTGGCCTTTCTTAAGGAATCATACTACTATAATACACAATGGTATCAAGACACGATTCTGGAAAGATAGATGGCTTGGTAATCAAAGTTTGTGAGAGATCTTCCCTGACATCTTTGACTTAGCACTACATAAAGACAGAATAGTGGCTGAAATGTGGTCTCCCCAAGGTTGGGATCTATATCGCCGAAGGAATTTAAATGTCTGGGAAGTTTGTAGATTAGTTGAGTTCTTTAAAAGGTTGGAATCATTTCAAGGTTTGAAGGAAGGGGAGGACTGCCTACGGTGGACAGAGCACAACAAAGGAAGATACAAAGTGAACTCAGGTTACAAGGTCATAAACATGGCTCCTCTAACTCTCAATTGGCCTTAGAGACAAATCTTGAAAGCCAAAACTCCACTTAAGGTGGCATGTTTCACTTGGTGCTAGCAAAAGAGGCAGTACTAACACATGAGAATCTAAGAAAAAAAAAAACATTCTGGTGACACGTTGTTGTTTATGTGGGGAAGCAGTTGAGACAGTTAGGCATTTGTTCTTACATTGCAAAATCATTGATCAACTAACATATGATTTTCGTTTTTTTTGGAATTTTTTTTTTAATACAGGTGAATTTCTTAAACTCTACAGATGATTTTAGAATTTTGTTTTTTTTTAAAAGAAATGAATGATGCAGCCGAAATTTGAGATGATTTCGTGAAGAATTGAAGATGTTGAAAATTTGGGAGTTGTTCATGTGTTCTTGGTATTCTTAGGGAAGAAGAAACAAAAAGAGTACATTTGATCCAAAAACTTCAATTGAAAAGTATTAAACGTTGTTTGGGGTGTAAAAAGTGGTTTTGCAAACCGGAGTTAAAAAAATGGCATGGATGAGCCTTTTCTTTAACAACAATGACATAAATGAGCAAAAATTTTAACGGATGGCATAAATGAGCCTTTTTTGAAAGTTCGATGGCATATTTGAGCCTTTTTCCTTCTTTTTGTGAATCCATATAGCCATGTTATGTAGTTCATAGAAGATACTATTACCACTATTTACTATCTTTGTCTGCCATTTTATTTATATTTATCTTCTACTTAGAAATCAATTAATAATTGTTATAGAAAAAGAAATTTATCAATCAATCAATTATATCTCAATTCCAAACTAGTTGAGGCACTGGATATGTTGTTGAAACTACTTGAGGCTTCTTCTAGTTCTAGTTATAAGTAAAATGGAATATAATGAGAGGGATAGTGATAAGCAAAATGTCTTCTCTTTTTTTTTGGGGAATAAAGAAGTGATAAGCTAAATGTCTTTTTGGGGATATACTGATAAGCAAATATTATTTTTTTGGGGGTGGGTGAGGGTGGGGGCAGGGGGGATAAATAAGTGATAAGCTAAAGGCTATTGTTCTTTTATGATGTTGAGGTAGTACCTTCCTGTTTTTGGTTCTTTCTACCGGACATACTAGTACATTTGTTAATATATCACGCTGAGTTGGTAATGAGTTTTTTTAATCTCAAAATTGTTTTTATGAACCATGTCATCAGTTGGCATCCCTCCAATTTGCCATCTATCTGTAGAATCTTCTCTTTACACCAAAAATAGGAAGGATCTTTCGATAATCTCAATGGAGACTCACTATTTTGAAAGAATCATCTATTTCTTCCATTCCTCAGGCATCAAAAGAGACATAGTTAGCTATATTATTTCTGAGCTTAGTGAATTCTTGATTAGACTTCCATGCTTTTTTCAATGGCATCTATGACTTGTATTATGGTTGTGTTTGAAGAATAATGTTTTTCTTCCAAGATTTTCCTTCTACCATTTTGTCTTTATTCCTATGTGTTGGTTTGATGAGCACATGAAGCATATCCTTATGGTACCACTGTGGATGACATAGATGCTGGGGCTAAGATCCCAAGAGGATGCATGTCTTTTCATGTCCCATCAGAGTCTTTTGACGTAGAAAATATACTGTGCAGCAAAGGATTCAGCGGTACAAGACCAAGTATATGGGCTTTTCAGGTGAATATATGGTTTCTGGATATTTCTTTTGACCTTCTATGAAGTAAGAATTCATTTATGGCACTTACAGAATTAGAGTTTTTATCCCTGCTTGCTCTTCATCCATACAAGCTCAAACAAAAGAAGAGGATTTTTACTCACCTCTCATCCACCAGAAAAGACAATAACTAGAAAAGAAAACACAGAGCTTGGGCTGCATGTCCCAGAGACTAAATTTTTGGCATGACAGTGAGCATCTTTCTTGAGTACGGCTGTTTATGCTTCCATCTTTGTGCTCCAGATTGTAGCAAACTTCTCGTTAGTTGTGAAACTTGTGTCCATCTTTGGCTTCATTTGTCTTGGCTACTGGCTTCACTGACATATAATCACAATATGTATATTTCCCACTCATCAGCTGTGGTAGTTCACATTCCTAAATTGTCGCTGCTATTGGCAGCATCGTGACTGATCATCTTGCACTTCTAGAAGGTCACCTTGTGCTCGAAGTACCACTTTTATCCTCATTTGGGTTTGAACTTGCTACTCCCCGTGTCCCAATTTATATGACTCGGTTCCTTTTTACTCGGTCCCAAAAAGAATGACACTTTTATATTGAGTAACAATTTAACTTTAAAATGTTCATTTTACCGTTAATGAAATGATTGTTTAGCCATGCAAACATCTATCACTTATTTTAGGCCACAAGTTTCAAAAGTTTGTCTTTCTTTCTTAAACTCCGTGTCAAGTCAAACTACATCATATAAAATGGGACGGAGGAAGTTTATGTATTATGGTCAATAGCGTACAATTGATGTGGAATTCACGTGTATAGAGTATCTTATCAGTAACAATAGGACCTCATTTGTAGGGATTGCCTGTTGTGAACTTGGAAAGTTTTAAAGATATCTTGTCCACTGTCAGTAATTTAGCCATGAAGGGATGTCTTTTCTTGGGAGAACTTCCTGTCTGGCTGGCTGAAATGGATGTTGGAGACCACGTTGGTGATCTTGTAAGTTGAGCAGACAGTTTCTTTGTTCAATTAAAGCATTAGAGAATCCTCAAGACAATCTAATTCTTGGTTTGTGTTCAGTCTGCCATAAAGAAGTGGCTTGACGATCTCTTTATGAGCTATGGTTTTCGGGTTAAGATGATTGAATATGATGAAGTTGCACGAAACCTCAGGCAAGATTCTGCAAAAAGAGTGTCAGAAGTCAGCACAAGTATACTTTTTGTTGCAGAGCATCTACGTTTCTCTGATGATCAGGTAGATTTACTATACCTTTATAGGTTTGTGCAAATGTATTCTCATTCTCTTGAGATCCCTAGTATCTAAACATATTGGTATCCCAACAGATGGAAACCTGGAGGACAGAATTTCAGAGAATAGAGGAAGAAGGGGATGAAGAAGGCTTTGAGGAGCTCTAGGGAAGTTGGAAGAGTTTTTTCCTTTGAGGAGCTCTAGGGAAGTTAGAAAAGTATATATTTCCTTCTACAAGAACTGGCTGTATTTTGAATTAACCCTGCAAACTGCAAGCAGTATATTACCTGTCGAGATTCAACCTGCTATGCCTGTGGCTGTATCTCAAGCTCCTCCATCGATGATCGAAGAAGAAAGGTTCCCAAAAGGATCAACACTTAAAAAAGTGCATGTCAACATAGGGCTTTGGCTCTTTTTTAACTTTGGCGCATAGGATCTGCAAGAGTGAGGCACAATCTGCATAAAGGAAGTTATATATACATGCTTCATACCTTTCATGTACACCTTAGACCATTTTCAGAAATTGGTGTATGAACTATTAGCATTTGTTGCAATGTAACAGCAAACTTCTTTGTGCATTCTCCGTGAGACAACCATTGGATATGGAAGCTACATATTAGTTGACAATGACTTGGAGCCTCTTAGTTCCAGTAAGTCATAGTTGTATCCTGCTAGCCCAGAAAAATGATACAAACACAGAAGTAAAGAGTATCAATATCAGTAGCCAGTAGAAGAAAGAAGAATATCCAGAATTTTTATCCCTCGATTGGGAAAATGAGAAGCTACTACACACGAGAAATCTATGACCCGCCTATGACATTGGCCAAGAAATAGTGCTTTTTACGGAGACTAAACAGTACATTGAAATAATATCTAAAAAATTGGAAGGTCCTTTTGAGAAATCCGAGCTTGATCAGCTATAACAGAGCATATCAACTACCTACAAGTAGTTGAGACAGATGCAAAAATTTCCTGCCATTAGCAAACAGGGGCATCTTTAACTTAAGCTGTCTGTCAAAATTTAAAGCAGCCTGCTACACTTGCTACTTATTCAAAAATTCACCCCCAGCTAAAACCAGGATCCTTAGTTACCTGCCTTTCCAACATAGCAGCTCTAATTTCCTCTGTATCATCCCATCTCCCTAACGATGTATACATATTTGCTAGAAGCACATAAGGGGCGGAATTCTGCGCATTAAGACGGATTAGCTCCTCTGCTGCCCGCCTTGCTAAAGTTACATTTCCATGGAGCCTACAGGAACTAAGCAAAACCTCCCAGACAACAGAGTCATCTTTGCATGACATCTTATCAATGAGTTCTTCTATTTCACTAAACCGGGCAGCGCGACCCAAACAATCAATCATGCAAGTGTAATGATCAACAAGTGGCATCAACCCATATTGTTGCTGCATTGAGTTGAATATCTTAAGCCCCAGGCTGACAAGCCCAGAGTGACTACAAGCAGTTAGAGCGGCAATAAAAGTTATAACATCAGGTTTTCCTCCTGAACAAATCATGTCTTCATACAAGAAAATAGCTTCATCTCCACAACCATTTTGTGCATAGCCATGTATCATTTCGTTCCATGTAATTGTATTCTTATAGGGCATCATGTCAAAATGTACCCTGGCCTCATCTACATCGCCACATTTGGAATACATGTCAATCAGAGTACTTCCAACTACAACTTCATTAGCATACCCATCTTTAATTATCAGCCCATGAAGTTGTCTCCCTTGCGATAATGAGGATAGCTTTGTACAACAACTCAGTGTAGTAGCAAATGAAAACTCATTAGGTAACATCCCCATCTGTAGCATTCGCTTAAAGAAAGTAAAAGCTTCTTTATCCAATGAATTATAGGATAAACCAGTAATTAGAGAATTCCAACAGACTATATCTGCTTGAGTGAGCCCATCAAAAATACGTACAGCCGCTTCTACTCTACCACATTTTAGGTACATACCAATAAGACCACTAGCTATATATATGTCTCTAGGACAGACACACTTTAATGAAGTAGCATGGACCTGCACCCCACTTTCTAGAAACCCTATCTCAGAACATGAACTAAGTATGATAGCCAAAGTGGTCCGATCAGGTCGCAGATTTTGAAATTGCATCTCTCTGAAAAGCTTTAGTGCCTTGAGATGTTCCTCATTCTGTGAATAGCCTGAAAGAATAGCATTCCATGAAATCAAGCTAGGGCAAGCCATGCTCTCAAATATCAAGCGGCCATTTTCAACATCCCCTGATTTAACACAAGCCGTGAGCATATTTATGTAAGTAACCTCATCTGGTTCAACACCCATACCCCGCATCCTTTCCATGTACTCCATCGCTCTTTCTTTATCATGATTCTGTCCAAACCCACTTATCATAACATTCCAAGAAACAGTACTAGTTTCAGAAAGGTTTCCAAACAATACTACAGCACTTTCCATGTCACCATTTTTTGCATACATGTCAAGCAAGGAGTTACACACGTGAAGGTCTCCTTGAAATCCAAGTTTAATGGTGAAACAATGGACTTGCTTCCCCTGCGTATTAGGTAGATCACTATCAGTCTCACCATTCCAACCAAAATTCAAACCCCCACGTTTAGCGCAACCTCTCAGTACACTAGACAATGAAACAGAGTCAATCCTAATTCCACTCCTCTGGATTAACCTAAACATTTCAAATGCCTCTTCCACTTGGTGATTATCTACCAATCCACACATCATTGCCGTGAAGGAAACCTCATTAGGCTCATCCAACTCCCTAAAGGCTATCAACGCATCCCAAGGGCAGCTACATTTTACATACAAGCTCAACAAAGCATTCCCAACATACACATTCTTGTGAAGCCCATACTTGACAGCAGAAGCATGAGACACCCTGCCGTACTCCAATTCAGCCAACCCACCACAGGCGCTTAAAACGCTGGCGAATGTGATATGGGTCGGTGAGAAACCATGTGCGTTCATTTGAGAATAAACCTCCAAGGCCTTTGTTTCATGACGGTTTCGAGCAAATGCACTGATGAGAGTGTTCCATGATACACTATTTCTTTCAGGCATATTCGAAAATAGCTCATGGGCGTTGTCAAGCTGACCTTGCTTACAATAAGCAGTCAAGAGGGAGTGCCAAGAATATATATTTGGTTGAAGCATTTGATCGAACAGGTGTCGTGCGGTGTGAATATGACCAGATTTGGAATACAATTCTATGAGACGGTTTAGGAGGAATGTATCAGCAGAAAGGCCAATTCGTAGTATATGGGCATGGAGAAGTTTGCCTGCAGTGTAAGCTTTGGTGTCAATGGAGGTTTGTAAGAGATTTACCAAGTAGGCAGTGTTGATCCTGGCATGCATTTTATTTTATTTTTGTAATAAAACAAAGTAGATAATAGTAATACTAGGCGATCGAGTAGCAGAATTTTTTTTCTTTCTTTTGTTTTCTACTACTTTAGAAATGACTTGTAAAATTGCGTATGTATATGGGTGATCCTCATGCGAACAGAGCCATATACTCACTCCATTCATTTTTTACTTGTCAATTATTCTTAAAATGAAATTTTATTTTTATTTGTTACTTTTGAGTTTTGAGTATCAAGAAAATACAAATTATTTTTTTCATGTTTGTTTTTTAACAGTAAATACTTATTTTTTAAATTATTTTTTAAGATCTAACACTAAATATCATTTAGTATGGATAGTTTGATAAAATACTTATATCAATAATTATTTTATTAATAAGTGTGCCAAATCAAACAACGACAAATAAAAATAAACAAATTGTGCCAGGCATAGAGTTAGAAAGGTATCAAATAATCACGAAATCTCTATATATATATATATATATATATATATATATATATATATATATATATATATATAAATATATAACTAAATCTAAGTAATCCTATGTGGCATAAAGCTGAATTTAAGCAATCATATGTGGCACCTCTCTATGACCACCATTCTTATTTATTTATTTTCTCAATTTTTTATTTTTTTTTTATTCATTTCAATTAATCTTTTTTATTTACAAATAATGAGTATAGAGAGTACTGAAATGATATGAAAAGGGAAAATAGATTTTTGATTCTCTTTTATGATAGTAAAAAATATAGATAAAAGTAAGAAGATAGTAATAAATTGAGTAAAAAGTAAAAGGAAAGAAAAAATTTAAAAGAACTACCATAAAAAGAAAACACGGAAAAGGAAAAGAAGTTAAAAGAGTTACTTTTTATTTTACTTTATTTGTAGTCAGTTCTCTCTCTTTCTACTTTTTTTATTTAACATTTGAAATATGAAATTATAAAAATATATCAATTAAACTTAATATATATAACTACTTAAAAAGTAAATAAGATTATAGTTTATAGTATTTTTGAATTTTTTTAACATAGTACATAAATAACAAAAAATATATGAAGTCAAGAATAGGAGAAAAAAAACTAATTATAATATAGTCAAAGAGATTTTTTTGGCAAATTTTATAGATCAAAAGGGAAAAAAATAAGGAAAGAATAAATTTTTTCTTGAATAATAATAAATTATGATAATAAGGAAGAGAGATCGATGATATTATTTTTCTTTAAAAAACTTTAAAAAATAGAAGATAGAAAGAGGAATTTAAGAAAAAATAATAAATAGCAGTACTATGAGGAGAGAGATAAATAAGGCATTTGTTTTTTTTAAAAAAAATTAAATTGATTTTATAGATCAAAAGAAGAATTTTTTTGTGAATAATAATAATAAATCATGACAATAAGGATATGTTTAAGGAGGAGAGATAATAAAATTTTTCATTAAAAAAACTACTAAAAAGGTAAAAATAAAATAAAAAATTGTAGTAATGATAAGGAGGTATGGAAGGCAATAAATCGTAGTAATGATGAGAAGAGAGATAAATAAGTAAATATATTTATCATAATATAAAGGTGAGTATCATAATAATGTTACAAAAATATTATATTAAATAAGACACTATTTTATAATTTTTTTGAGTTTATGATAATAAGGTGGAGAGATAATAAGATTTTTGATTTTAAAAAAACTATAAAAATGGGAAGGTTAAAAAACGAATTTAAGAAAAAATATTGAGTAAATTGTAGCAATGATAATGAGAGATAAAAGACAATAAATTGTAGTAATAGTGAGAAGAGAGATAAATAAGGTAAATATATTTATCATAATGTATAATAATATAAAGGTGAGTATCATAACTATGTTAAAAAATATTGTATTAAATAAGACACTATTTTGTAAAAAATTTTGAGTTTATGATAATAAGGTGGAGAAACAAATTTAAGAAAAAATAATGAGTAAATTGATGATAAGGAGAGATGAAAGACAATAAAGAGAAGAGAGATAAATAAGGTAAATATATTTATCATAATTAATAATATAAAGGTAAGTATCATAACCATGTTTTACAAAAATATTAAGTTAGACACTATTTTATAACTTCTTTTAAGCTTTTTAACATAAAATATAATTAAAAAAATATTTTAGAACTCAAGAAAAGAAGAAAAAGGAGAATTATGATTTTTGGTCAAAGAGATATTTTTTATTCTTTTTTTATATATATTTTATAGGTCAAGAGAGAAAAAATAAGAAAAAAAAGAGAAATTTGGAGAATAATAATAATTTAATAGTTATGATAATAAGAATGAGAGATAGATAAGATTTTATTTAGAAAACCTTAGAAATAGAAGGTGGGATGATGAATTAATTTTTTTTTACAGTAACAATGAGAATAAATAAAAAAATATAACATGTTGCAGTAATATCACGGAAAAAGAAAAAGAAAATATTTGAGATTTATTTTTTATTCAAATTTTATAAATTAAAGGAAAAAAACTTATTAAGGAAAAAGAATTTTTTGCGAATAAGAATAATTAATTATGGTAATAAACTGGAGAGATAAATAAATAAAATTAAGAATTACAAAAATAGAAGGTAGAAAATGTAATAAATTGTAGTAGCAATGATGAGGAGGGATGAAAAGTAAGATATTTTAAATATATATTTTCTTCAATTGAGACATCAATCTTCAGTTATAACTTTAAAATAATGATATTAACATATAATTATTTCTTTCATGTTCATGCCATTGGTGTTTTCATGGATGAGTGCTTGAAGTTAAATTACATCCAGGGATATCATTGAAAATCTTAGTAGTATTTTAAATTAAATCTATAAAAGTCTTTTAAATCCCAAGATTTATGTAGCGCCATATCATGATCTAATATGTGTGGATTACTTTCTATACAATAACACCATACTAAGCAATTTTTGTCCACCTTTCCCTTTATTTATATAACAAATCAGTAACACAAGCAAGTGCCTACCTCATATTTTACCCTCTGACAAAGACTCTCAACCTCTCTCGCGATACTCTCTACAACTTTACCCGAATTAATTAAAAAAAAAATACAAATTCAACATTTTGCCTATTCTTTCTCAAAATGTCTTACACTTATTTTTACATCAAGTTGTAACAATTTCATAAATAATCTCATTATTTAAAAGAATAAATGGAGATCACAACCAATGGAAAAAGTTGTAAAATACACTTATTTTTTAATTTCAAAATATTCACGCTGATCTACATGATCAATGTGAAAACTTATCTATATATATTTCTCTACACCTTTTTATTTACTATATCTCCATAATAAATCGATACCATATATTTCATAATAAATAAATAAAAACAATACGAATCCCCAACTTTTCTCCAATTATTTACAAAATTTTCACACTTACCTTTACACAAACATTTAACAAATCCAAATAATTAATTCATACAATTAAATGGTAGCACAATCAATACATCAAAAAAGTGATATAAATACCACAAACAAAATAATAAAGATCCACACACACCATTTATCTTCATAGTCACCATCGGCTCATAGTGGTTAATTGAGGTTAGTTTTTCAATATCCAATATTATTATATGGAACTTACCATTTATTGCAATACTCTATCTGACTTTGACAAATACTTATACAGAAGTACTACAATGGATAAAAAAAATATAAAAATTGGCTTCAAATAATTAGTTCAGAGAATTGTCAAGGTAAAATATTAATGATATTCATGACTATATTAAATTGTTCTTCTAAATATTTATTTTTGAATACAGATACAATTGAACAATCAAGCAAATCGGTTAAAGTGATGTATGAAAATATTATGCAAGAGCGAATTGCATATTTCAGAAAGGAACAAGAGCAATTGAAAAAATATATATACAGAGGAGTTTCACAAGATCAAACAAACAAAGAATGACATGACATCTTTCATGTATTGGTTTCTACGTAATAGGGAGCTGAAATAAATTATGATTAGAGAATATATTCTCTAAACATCAATCTAATAAAGAATGTTGGTCCGTTGTTGATGTATTTATATATTTTAGCAATGAAAATAAAGTATTTTTTTAATAGAGTATATATTCTGACTTATTCATTAAGAATGTATTATTCACATTAAATAGATAGTATCTAAATTTGATAAGTTTCATTATGTATCATCATTTCAAATGAAAAGATAATGATATGCTCAAATAATATAATGATATAATTAATCCAAAATAAAAAACATCCTAACACATATCTATTAATCCTCGCGCAAAGCATGGACATGTTCCCTAATATATATAGTAAAACTTGAAATTGAGCATGAAAGAATGTCATTGTCTCTTGATAGCATAAAAAAGCCAACCCTTTATCTACATTTGACCAATTTCACTGTATACTTATACTTATCTACAGCCCAATAACTAATTGGTGATTCTTATTCTTATCGAATTTTGACTTGACATCTATCTATCTATCTATCTATCTATCTATCTTCTATACTATCTCAAAAGTATGAACTTTTAAAAATGAATGTTGAATTACTATACCGTTAATTAAAAAATACACAATTTATTTATTTTAATTTAATTAATTACTTATATAATATTAAATATAGATACTTTTTCACATTAAAGGGTTGTGACTTTTTCGATGAATTGTGACTTTTTTGAAGGGTTGAAACTTTTTTGACGGTTTGTGACATTTCCGATGAGTTGTGACTTTTCAGAAGGGTTGTGATTTTTTCAAAGGGTTGTGACTTTTTCAAAGCATTGTGCCTTTTCTGATAAGTTGTGACTTTTTCAAAGGGTTGTGACTTTTCTGATAAGGCACAATTAGCACCTATTCATAACACTATTTGTTAGCTATAAATAGAAGTGTTTCCTCTTACTTTTATACTACAGTTTTTCAAGTTTTCTACTCTTCATCTTCTTAAAAAATCTCAAGTGTTATTTGCAACAATTGATCAAGTTTGAAATTCAACGAAACTCGAGGTACTACATAAGAAATAGTTGGTGAATAAATTGTAGCAACTTATTCATCAATTCATACTTGTATTTTCCTTTTACGATTTTCATCACATACATACTTCAATATTATTTGTATTATTTTAGAATATAAATACACTTTTAATTAACCTACATATTTTATTTATTAAAAAAAAAGACTTATTTCCTACAAATAGTCACAACAATTTCAACTTTCATCTTTCTTTGGTCATAAATCACAACGATCCACTCCTTATAAATTTTTGGGGATCTCTTTTCTGTGACTATTTGATATCACTTAACAGTTTCATCAATGATTCATCCCTAATCCATTGATATGTTTCGTTGATGCGCTTATCGTTGGAATTTAAGTATTGACTTTCTATTCAAGAAAAAGAAGAAGAGAAAAGAGAAATGTGCAATTAACTGTGAACTTTGCTTCACACAGAAAAGTTCTATAGATAGTGCAAGGGAATTTTCATTTCATTTTATTATTTTGATTCTTTAATTAATTTCTTTTGTGTTTTAATTCGAGAGAGAACTTAATAATTTGTGTTCACATAATGAGTAAAAATTGATGAATACACACATCGTGAATTATTTTTTCTAAAAAAAAATTAATTGATCAAGTTGTGGGACAATAGTAATAAAAAATATGAAAAAAGGACACATGATTGAGGTAAGATATTTCTTATTTATTTTTTCTATTTTTTTTTTTTATGTTTTTACCCTCAAATGAAGAAATTTCTTCTTAATTTTGCTAAAACAACGGGCATCAACGTAGTCCATTTAATTATTAGTTTTGATGTTTAGTCCACTATTTCGAAAACATATTTTACTTTTAATTATAATATGATAATATAGGCATGATAATAATTAGTTTTTGGATAGAAATTTAAGTAAAAATGAACGGAGAAAGTAGAGTGTTGAGATTTCAAAAAATGAAACACTAGAGTGAATATAGCATGAACATATATTTTCGTCTTCCTTCTTCATTGGCTATGAATTGTTCAATATATTTGTTCTTTTTTATATTTGTATTGAGTATGAATTTTTTTATGCATGAATTTCCTGTGATATTTTGTGTTCATTTTAATCTGAGAAAATGTTATGTTGCAAGATACGCTCCTTGATAGCCATATAAAAATAGATAAGAAAATTGTGGTTGATCATAAAATTATCTTATATCAAATAAAAATTCTATAAATAATATTTAAAACTTTATCATATATGTTATTTTTTTATTGTTTTTTATCACCATACAAGATACTTGATACTTTTATTAGACAACTACCATATGATATGCATGCGACAGAAAAAAGGAGAAGACTACAATTTTACAAAGATAAGATAGAAACTTAAAGAAATGAAATATTTTTCATAATAGGTAATGTTGTTCATATATTAAAATTAAATTATGCTACTTTTATATATATATATATATATATATATATATATATATATATAACAAAGAATTTGTCAAGCTAAATATTTGACATACACTCAAACCTTTATTTAACTATAATTTGTTATAACAACATTTCACTATAATCTCCTAATTTTCTTTAGAACTAATTTTTGAGGTTATATTTTTTGTCTGTATAAACTATTTCTCTATGATAGTCTTACTCAAATAATAGTTGAGTAATAATTTTTTAAAAAGATATATTACTTATAAAGATAAAATATTGAAATATTTATGGTAATCGTCATTAGTGTTATGCACATATTAAATTTCAAGTATGTATATTTAAGAGAAAATTGCACTTCCATGGTGTCCATCATTTATGGTCATAACGTCAAGAGGAGGGCCTCTGGTGACCTTTTGTATATTGATATTTATTTCTATACCGTTGCTTAAACTTTTTTATATAATTGAGTGAAGTGAAAAATAATACTACTAAAGAAATATCATTATCTCCCCATATTTAATCGTTGAATGTATTTTGAATAGTATCAATGATATCTTGTCATTTTGATCTCAAAAATAAGTAATTCTATGATAATATGTATTAAACATTTATAATCACTTGTTCTATGTTCTTTCAATTATAATTATTTACGACAAAGCTTTAATTTAGTAATATTAATTATATTTTACAATATTGTATACAATATGATACGATACGCACGTGCCGTGAGACTAGTATTTATTAAGAAAGTAAATTGGAATAGTAAATAAAAAGAGGTGTCTATTCCTGACAAAAACAATTTTTTTTTGAATTTGTCAAAAACAACAAGTAAGAAGAGAAACCAAATTAGAAAATATTTGATAAATAAATGAAAACCAAATTAGAAAATATTTGACAAATAAATAAACACGAATAGAATAATAGGCAAGTGAGTCTCTTTCTTCACCCTAAATTCACAATCATAGTTATTGAATATTTTTTTGAATAAAGTACAAAAATCCTAACAATTTGGTCGCTAGTTACATCTTATTTCGAATTTTTTTCAAAGTATAATGATTTCAAATTTTTTAGAACTTACGTACATATTGCTTCTTCGCGCGATATATATCAAACGATATATAAGCTATGTATCATATATATATAAGTTATGTTTCAGATAAATAACTATATATCAAATTTATATTAATTTAAGTTTGAAACAATTAAGGTTATATATTAACAATAACATAGACTTTGCTTGCTTACTTTCACGCTTCCTTCAGTGATACTTAGTTAATTCTTTTATCTTTATGTTTTTGTACCAGATATATTATACACAAAAAAATGTTATAATGCTATGATAAAGGTGGAGTAATGTATTCGGACTCTTATATAAGCCATTGTCCTATCAATCTCATATTATAATTACATAATTTTTCCCTATTTTTTTGGTCACCCACTTCGGCCCATGAACTGTAAGTCGGAGCATCAGTGCCTTGCCTTGGACGGCTTTTAAAAAACCCTAACGCATTTAAGTATAATTATCGGCACTGCAGGGAGGGAGAGGAAGATGGTGTCGTTGAAGCTACAGAAGCGGCTTGCTGCCAGCGTCCTCAAGTGTGGGAGGGGCAAGGTTTGGCTTGACCCCAATGAAGGCAACGAAATCTCCATGGCCAACTCTCGTACGTTCTTTTTTCTTTACTACCTTTTTATTTCTTCAGAATTATGTTTCAAATTTTACATCTTCACACACTAGAAATTCGATCTTACACAAATTTATTCATTCAGGAGAAATGTTACAATTTTTTTGGAGTGTTGAAGTGCAATGGAGAATCATTCTCATGTATACTAGTTTGAAATTGAGGATTAGTTTTTTGAATCAAACTTCCCTGTTTTTCATATATGACCAAGGAATGGTTTACTGTCACTTGGTTGTTCAAGATACTAGACTTTGTTTAGAAGATATCTGACCTTTTTTTTAACAACTGCAAAAAAGATACCGGTGTTCGTTTTTGGTGTTGTTATAATATGAATATGAATTGGAAATGTGGGTGATTGGTATTACATTATTTTCTTTATCAGTGAACTAAAATGATCTTAACATTTTGGAGTTCATAGAAAATATATGAACATATTGCTTTAATTACATTCCTATTTACAGTATGATATTAATGATATATTTCTCAGACTCTCTAAAGAAAATTGGTTGCCTCTAATTCCCCTGTTATGCATTGAGTGCAGGGCAAAATATCAGAAAGTTGGTCAAGGATGGTTTCATCATCAGGAAACCCACCAAAATACACTCAAGATCTCGTGCCCGCAGAATGAAAGAAGCAAAGACGAAGGGCCGTCACTCTGGATATGGTAAGTCCTACTCTTTGAAACAACTGCTATCATATTGTATTTGGAGCATGCCTTTTATTTTGAGATACTACTTCTCTTCATAAGGTGGTTTATGTTTTAATCTTAAGCTTGCCTTGTGTTTTGACCAAATTAATTTGTTTATTGATAATTCATTTCAGAGAAATTGATATTGCATGAGGAAATGTTAACCTTGCTTTAACAATGCCATTGCTCCTAATCTTATCTTTTAATGAAAATTTTGCTGCTGAAGTTTGTTTCGGTGACTCCTGATATTGAGGACTCTTTTCTTAGGTAAGCGCAAGGGTACTAGAGAGGCTAGGTTGCCCACAAAGGTGCTATGGATGAGGAGGATGAGAGTCCTTAGGCGCTTGCTTCGCAAGTACAGGGAGTCGAAGAAGATTGACAAGCACATGTATCATGACATGTACATGAAGGTGAAGGGTAATGTTTTCAAGAACAAGCGTGTGCTAATGGAAAACATTCACAAAACAAAGGCTGAAAAGGCTAGAGAGAAGACCTTGTCCGACCAATTTGAGGCCAGGAGGGCAAAGAACAAAGCAAGTAGGGAAAGAAAGTTTGCTAGGAGGGAGGAGCGTTTGGCTCAGGTAATAATTTGTAAATTTTGTTGGCGTTTTCTCACGTTTGAGAGGAGAGCTAGTTGTTTTTGCATGATTTTGTTTGTTAGTTGTCAACAAATTTGTCTTACGTAGAATTGACAGTGCATGGAGTTAAGCTTGTATTTCCTCCAATTCTCAGGGACCAGGGGAGAGGCCAGTACAACCTGCAGCAGCAGCAGCCACCCAAGCCCAGTAAGTTCTCCACAAACATGCTATGTGTTTTCTCTTGGTGATTATTAGAACAAATTTAACAAGACTTGCCCTTGCAGGGGATCTAAGAAGTGAGGATGATGTGGTAAGGAGGGCTTGCTCTATATTTATTCCTTCTTTATTCAACTTTTAGAGAATATTAGAACCCTGATACGTTTTAAAATTTTGATACGTTTTTCTCATTGTAACCGAGCTATTCCTTTTCAGTTATGCATTAACTTCGATTATTGTTCTCTGTCATTATTTTGTGATGCACCTACTACATGAAATATTTCTTTTGGGGGTAAAATGTAGAAATGACAAAAGCATGATTTTGTATCTATGTCGGTCTTCTTTTCATAAATTCTGCTTCGTCCTATTCTATTGTCTTGGTCCATTTGACGAAACACTCTTTATTGTGGGGAGGCAACTAATTCTCACCTGAAGTGTCCAATTTAGAATAAATCAAAGTACTCCTGAACAGTTGAAAATGTAAAAAGAGAAATCAATCGGATGCAACAGGATTTTTCAGAAGAAGTGACAGTAACAATAAGAAAAAATCATGATGGCCATAAAGGTAAAGTAACTTTAGTCACAAAACACTAGGTGATTTTATCTTTTTATTCTTGCCTTGGTGGGTACCATGGTTATAAAAAAAAAAAAAAGATAAAGCGAGTTTAGGTATCATGTGTACTGGCCAGATCTCACGGACAGAGAGATGATATGCAAGTTGGTTTGCCGGTTTGCTTATTGACTTGTATTTGTTATACAGACAGCTGATATGACAAAATTCTTGTGTGACAAAATGCTGAAAGGGTTGTAATTTGTAACAAAACAGAAACATGATGCATATCCATAATCCACAATGCAATTTCAGCTTTTGCTTCAAATCATCCGTATGAACATCTGTTATTTTGCAGCTTTGGTTCCACCCATGAACCGGTTGCATAAAGGGTTGCTACCTCTCTTGAAAACATTTTCCATAATCAGAAGTAGCAAAGTTTGAGTACATATGGTTACCAATGGGCAAAAGAAGGCAAATGAGAAACAAGACCACATGCACCTACTAAACACGTGAAAGTTGTTGGGTTCAACTTGTGTGGGGTCCAAATCCAAAATCAAGTTTTAAGTACTATTTTCTTTTGTTATTGTAACCCAGACGCACTTTTCACTAACCCAATCCAATTTGCAACTTCTTAGCTACCCGTTAAAGACCAGATTTATCACTTATCTATTCCGGTCTTTGTTTCTATTCCAATCACAATAGAAAGATAAGACTTTGCAACTACTATTTGTAGAGTTAAAATAGAGACCTAGGCTGCAAAACAATAGGGACGTATCAGCTAGTTACCTTGCCAGCCACAAACTGACAAAAGGATAGAATTTGAACATTAACATAAGTGTGTAAATAAAATTGCAAGAAGATAAGATAAGATCGATGGAGCAGAAGCTTTCTTCAGTAGCGAAAACGCTAACAAGTTCACCCATACAACAACTTTCTTATCTTGCCGAAAGACGCAATGCCGTCAACCTCGCCGAAGGTTTCCCTGATTTCCCTGCACCTTCCTACCTTAAAGACGCTGCCATTTCCGCTATCCGCTCTGACTTCAATCAGTACAGGCATGTTCAAGCAATATGTGATTACCTCGCTTATCAACTCAAACAAATGCATGGCCTAGATGTCGATCCCCTCACTGATATCGTCGTATGTTGTGGTCAATCTGAGGCTTTTGCTGCCGCAATGTTTGCAAGTAGCTTACAAACTGATCTCAATTAAGTACTTTGTTTTGTTTTTGAGAATCAAATCATATAATAATTACTGCTTTCATTTCTTAATTTGTCCAGTAATAAACCAGGGTGATGAAGTCATCTTATTCGATCCATCCTATGAAACATATGAAACATGCATTAGGTTGGCTGGCGGGGTCCCAGTAAGCCTTCATTTAGGTTATAAATTGTACATCCATCTATCTACCATTGATTGTATGTAACTTGTATTTCTCCATGCACAGGTGTATGTAGCACTTGATCCCCCTTATTGGAGTCTGGATCCAAATAAACTAGCAAAGTCATTTACTGCCAGGACAAAAGCTATTGTCCTCAACAGGTAAAAGTTTCTGATTCAACTCTGTACCTAATTCTTGTGGACTTCTGCTCTTTCTTCTACATTTTGCCACAGAAGCTGTTAGTCCTCCACTCATTCATTAGCTTAATTTGACAACAATGTGGAAAAAACCTTTACATTTCCACAAAGCTAATGGGTTGACTTATGTACTAAAAGTTATCTGGATTAAACAATAGACACAAATGGTAGAGTTTTGCTTCAAATCACCTCAGGTTGACTCACTTGATTATTCAGATATCACACTACTATTGTTGTGCCAAAGATGCTTACATTCTCATTACACATGTTCTGTTTCAGGAAATCATAAGCTTTTCGTTCTTTTAGTTGAACCAATAATTGACAAGGTTCAGTTTTGTAGTTGCATGTATAGTGTACAACATGCTAGACGAAGAAGATTTTAAACAGATGATCAATTTTACCATTGGATATGCTGCAGCCCTCACAATCCAACTGGAAAGGTTTTCACAAAGGATGAGCTTGAGATTATTGCTGGAGCTTGCCGGACCTGGGATATTCTAGTTGTAACAGATGAGGTTTGCTTCACTTTGACACATCTTGCACTTTTCAAAGAAAACGGAAAGCAACGAAATAAGTATATTCAGTTCTTTTGTTCAACCTAATCTGAAGAATTCTTTGAGAAGTAACAAATAAGTATATTCAGTCCCTTGTTCAAGCTAATCTACAGAATGAACTTTATATTTACTACTCCACCGTGAACCCCATAAGAAAAGAGAAGAAAAATAGAAAGAGAGATGCAATTTGCACTGCTAAAACTTTTCACTCCTAAAAAACTTCTGGTGAAGTATCAATAGAAGAACAATGTCTTATCTTGTTTGTTTGACCCTTTTTCCCTTAGTAGGCGTGTTTCTTCAACCCTCATACTTTGGATGGATGTTGCATGCGTCAATAGTGTTACTCCCTGGTTATAGACACATACAGAGGATATTATGTTAATTTATGGTTAACAAGTTTCTTGCTTTTTTCTCTTAATAAGGCAGCTTCACACTTGCAGAAGTGTTGAAGACATAATCAAATAAATCAGAAGTTTGCCCTTTCTAATAGCTAAAACATCTAATTACTTCATAAGGCAGGTTTGCGATTTGAGAAAGTGTTGAATTCATAATTGTGAGAAATATATACGAAAAATATTATTGAATTGTGTATCTAAATAGTTACATTGAGACCCTATTTATAGACACTACATTGGAATCATTTTCCAACTAGGATTCCTATTCTTATTCCTATTCCTATTCCTATTCTTATTTCTATTCTAAGTAGGAAATACTTATTTCTATTCTAACACTCCCCCTCAAGCTGGTGCATACAAATCATATGTACCTAGCTTGTTACAGATGTAATTAATACGAGGACATGTGAGGGACTTGGTGAAGATATCTGCAAGCTGATCATTTGACTTCACAAATTTCGTAACAATATCTCCCGAGAGTATCTTTTCTCTGACAAAGTGACAGTCAATCTCAATGTGCTTAGTCCTTTCATGAAACACTGGATTTGATGCGATATGAAGAGCCGCTTGATTATCACACACAAGTTCCATCTTATCAACTTTGCCAAATTTTAGTTCTCCCAGCAACTGTTTGATCCAAACTAGCTCACAAGTTGCTGTCGCCATTGCTCGATATTCTGATTCTGCACTAGATCGAGCAACCACATTCTGTTTCTTGCTCTTCCACGACACCAAATTACCTCCTACTAAAACACAATATCCGGATGTCGAACGTCTGTCAGAGGGTGATCCTGCCCAATCAGCGTCTGTATATCCAATGATATGCTCATGGCCTTGATCCTCAAAGAGTAGTCCTTTACCGGGAGCTGACTTTATATATCGCAGAATACGAACAACTGCTTCCCAATGACTATCACAAGGGGAAGTCATAAACTGACTTACAACACTCACAGGAAAAGAGATGTCAGGTCTAGTCACTGTGAGATAATTCAACTTTCCAACAAGTCGTCTATACCTTTCAGGATTACTAAGTGGCTCCCCCTGTCCTGGAAGAAGTTTAACATTCGGATCCATAGGAGTGTCAACAGGTCTACATCCCATCATCCATGTCTCCTCAAGAATGTCTAAGGCATACTTGCGCTGAGAAATAACAATACCTGATCTAGACTGAGCAACCTCAATACCTAGAAAATACTTCAATCTGCCAAGGTCTTTAGTTTGGAAGTGCTTAAAGAGATGTTGCTTCAAATCGGTGATACCATCTTGATCATTACCGGTGATAACAATATCATCAACGTAAACAACCAAATAGATACATCGACTTGGTGCAGAATGCCGATAAAACACAGAGTGATCAGCTCCACTACGAGTCATGCCAAACTCCTGAATTACTGTGCTGAACTTCCCGAACCAAGCTCGAGGAGACTGTTTTAGACCATAGAGTGACCTGCGCAATCGACATACAAGGCTACTAGACTCCCCCTGAGCAACAAAACCAGGTGGTTGCTCCATATAGACTTCTTCCTCAAGATCACCATGCAGAAAAGCATTCTTAATGTCCAACTGATGAAGAGGCCAATGACGAACGACAGCCATAGATAGAAAAAGACGAACAGATGCAATTTTAGCCACAGGAGCGAAAGTGTCACTATAATCTAGCCCAAATATCTGAGTATACCCTTTGGCAACAAGGCGAGCCTTAAGTCGATCAACCTGACCGTCTGGACCAATTTTGACTGCATAAACCCAACGACAACCAACAGTAGATTTACCTGCAGGAAGGGAGACAAGCTCCCAAGTACCACTCTTATGTAAAGCAGACATCTCATCAACCATAGCCTGCCTCCATCCAGAATGAGAAAGTGCTTCACCTGTAGTCTTAGGAATGGAAATAGAGGACAAAGACGACACAAATGCATAATGGGGTGATGATAGACGATGATAACTTAAGAAGGTATAACGTGGGTTAGTATTTCGAGTGGATCGTATACCTTTTTGAAGTGCAAGCGGTTGGCTAGGAGGAGGCAAGTCCGCAGTAGGAGCAGGGTCTGGCGCATGACATGAATCATCTGGGACTAGGGTTGGACGTGGACGGCGATGATAAGTTAGTAGTGGTGGCACTACAACTGGAGATGTAGAAGTAACCGTAGATTCCACAAAGGTTGGCACAGGTAAAACCTGAGGTATGGGTAAGACCATAGAGACATCAGGATGATCAGAAGATGTATAGTAAGGCTGAGACTCAAAAAATGTAACATCAGCAGACATAAGGTATCGATGAAGATCATGTGAATAACAACGATACCCTTTTTGGACTCGAGAGTAACCAAGAAAGACACATTTGAGGGCACGAGGAGCTAATTTATCTTTTCCTGGGGCTAAGTTATGAACGAAGCATGTGCTCCCAAAGACACGAGGAGGGATAGGATAGAGATGTGACTGAGGAAACAGTATGGAATGGGGAACCTGATTCTGAATAGAAGAAGAGGGCATTCTATTTATCAAATAACAAGACGTAAGAACTGCATCTCCCCAAAAACGCAATGGAACATTGGATTCAAGGAGAAGAGTACGAGCGGTCTCAATAAGATGCCGATTTTTTCTTTCAGCTACACCATTTTGTTGAGGGGTGTATGGACAAGTAGTCTGGTGAATAATGCCTTGGTGAGTCATAAACTCCCGAAATTGGGAGGATAAGTATTCTAAGGCATTATCACTACGAAAAGTACGA